CTTACTTCACAAGGAATCACAAAATAATCTAAAAAGAAATTAAGAAATAAATATCTCGCTATTTAAATCAAGAATTGTTATCGTTTACGAGATACAATACAATGAGTACGTATTTATAGTACGTTGAATAGGTTAGACTAAACAACACTAAAATACAAATCCTAATTTCCGAAGAAAATAAATTTTCAGCTTGTTTGATGGCGATTTTAAGCTAATTAAAATCAATTTTTTTACCGTTATTTTATTATTTCAACCGTTGTTTTTGAATTCTACTCTCACAAGTCGGGCTACTTTATCTCTAACGGTCAAAAAAATCAATCTTCAAAATCTCTACTAAACAAGCACTGTATTTGTAATACTACACTAGAAACAAATTCTTGTAGTTTCAAATTTTGGAGAATCCACCATCAATAAGAAATTGACAAGCTTTTTGTGAGTGCAAAAGAAGAAAATGGAATTGCCTTTTCCATCAAAGAGAAATACTTTGACACAACAATTGATATGCACATACTTTTTCAGACTGTATTGCTTGACCAGGACCTCTTTATATTTCTATTCTTATAACACAAAGGTTCCTACATTTTTTTTTTAAGTTTTTAGCTTTAATGGATCCTCATAATTCAGTTTTTTATTATTATTTAAGTACTGATACCATAGAAAGGCAAAAAAGGGAACCACCCTGTTCTCTGTTTTCAATGGTGTAAATAAAGGGTATAGAGAATAAAACTGTGATTATCATAAAAATCTTAAAAGTATATTTATTAATGTTTATATTCATGCAAAATATAAAGAAACTAAAGAAACACAATTAAGGGTTCTGCATTTTATAGTTGTAGTAAATAAATTAGTAGAGGTCTACACCAGATCCTTTATAAAAATGGTATAGTTAAGTCGCGCCACTCGATCAAGTAAATAAGCAATACGATTTCTGCGTACTTGTATAATTATATTCATAATTTTTGGAAGTATCGATATAAATTATTTGAATGCCCCATCATCAAAACCAAAGTTGGAATGTGAATTGTGTATAAATCATCGATGAAGCAATTGTATCCATATGGTTTTGGTGTCTGAATTATTGAATAAAAAACAAGAAAAGAGTGGAAATTCCTCTGTAAAACGAGTGGCAAAAGGTAAGTGGAATACACATATTTCACCACCTTCTTATTTAGAATTGAATAATGAAAGAAATTAAGTGGAAGTTCTGGGAATGAAATGAATGATAAAGCCTTGTGTGGGTCAACTTTTCACCTGTCATAACTCATTTTACCACTGAAAATAGACATGGGATTTATCTATCATTTGAAGAGCTTCGGATTATTAATTAACTTGAGTTAATTCTACTATATTATCAACTCTCAAACATCTCCTAAGATTATGTCTTTCTTAATTGAATGACAAGTTCAACTGCAGTGTCGAATCTAGGATTTTGAGTCAGCACGGGCGGTCGTTGATTGTCGACTGTTAGCCACAATAAAATATTAAGAGCCCATTTGATGTGTTTTTTTTTTTAACAAAAAATACATTTTGAAATGATGATTTCATGGAGAACGTGAGGTCAAAAATAAGAAAAAAGTTTTGAATTTGCGTGTAATATTATTTCATTGAAGAATGTATGGTTAAAAATAAGATAGATAAAAATGTATTTTGAAAAAAAATGAAAATAAAACAAGGCCTAAAATTTAAATATAACAATTATTTTGTTCATATTGAACATATATAATTTTATTATAAGAATAAATCATATATTCAACAAATGACATTGTTACCAAGTATCGTATAATTTAAAGGAAGAGCATGATTTTGAATCTTTATAATTTTATTAAACCCAATAAATGTAATATATATTATTTTGTTATATTAAGTACCAAAAGCAATAGGTGCCACAGTGGTCAAACTTTCAATGGTTATAATAGAGGTTCAAGGTTCGAATCTCATTCAACTCCTTCCTATTGGTAGTTGTTGTAAACTAAAAAAATTGCACAATGAATTAGGTGGAAAGAGAATCGAAACTGGGACTTGCAAAATGCGAAAACAGGCTCTAACCACTTCAGTTACAAGGAGTATTTGGAAGAAGAAAGAATTATTAGAAATATAACCTAAAACCTTAATCGATTGTCAGCCCAAAAAAATGGCTTCCGGCGGATCCAGCTAGGGCGGCCGCCCTAGCTCGCCACTAGCTAGATCCGCCACTAAGTTCAAGCAATTGTGACGGTTAATGCACCATTGATACGGTCTTGTGACGATAATATGATATTGATATCGTATACAACATTCTCATTGGGCACGTCAAATCGTATATAAGCCATAAGTAACTAACTATAGTGACGAGAATAAGCACACATGTTATTTAAAATAATAGTTCTTGATTTCAAGTACTTAACTTGATTCTGTGGTCAAGATTAACTATTTTCATATTTTATATAGGTAATTTCTCGCTTCAAAGTAAATTATTGATTAATGAACAAGATACATAATTTTCGTGTTTCTCTATAAAATTGCTTAAACTCAAGTACATACTCCAGCTAACGGTCAAATAGACCGTGTTTTTATATATCCTCTAGGCAAAACCTCGACCATATTGCATATATCAACCATTGGTTGACTTATATCAATTTTTCTTTTTAAATTACAGTTAGAAAGTACTTGACTTATTTATTTATATTTATCTCTTCAACAGTTTTTCATATTTTCATTATGGACCATTAAATAATTTTTTACATTTTCATTTTCATTTATGGACCTTCAAAAAATTCTCAAAAAATAAAAGAAGAGTTTTTATGTTATTCATCGAGCATATTGCGGTGCTTGGGAAAAGAAATGATTTTTCAATGAATAAATTTAAGATTTTAATGAAAATGATGTGAGATAATTTTAGTACGAGATTTCGAAAAAAAATTACATGTTTTTGCATAATGTCAAACATTAAAATAAGGAATCATGCTTGTTGTACAATGATTTTGTCAACAAGTTTGACAATATGCTACGTGACAGACTATCATTGGACAGTTTAAAAAATACTTTATCTTTCTCATCAATACTTTTTTGACACCTACACCATTGTCAAGCATGTTGTACAAATCCATTGTACAAATGACTTATTCTAGAAAATTATGAGATCATTTTAGTACGAGAATTGTCAAACAAATGAAGGAATATTAAGTGGTTCTCGTGTATCAAATATTTGAGAAAAGGTAATGGACTGTTCTCTTCGTATTTTAGTTTTGTAATTTTGAGTTTTGAATTCATTGTGAATTTTGCGTTTTAAGTGCCTATTTTAAAATTGCTAAAAATGCGTTATCTTTGTCATTCTGAAAAACTGTTTTTGAAAGCATAAACCCGAAAAATGCGTTCACTTGGAAATTTTGAAAATATTTTTTTATAATATTTTATTCAAAAAATATAATTATTCAATAAATTTTAATAGTTTAATGTTAATATAGTATAAAATAACATATAAATTTTGAAGTTGGCGGATCTTGAAATATTTTTTGACGGGTATAAAAAACACAACCTAAATTAAATTTGACAACACGGTTCAATATACTATTAGAAGTTTACGTGTCATGGCAAAACAAGTAAACACTAAACAAAATATAAAGTACATCCACGAAATCATGTACAATGTCTTAAGCGGTCATTCCACATTTGTATAGCAATTTGATCCCTGACTAATCTCATTTTAGCTGTTTGACTAGCATCAAAATGTATGACTTCTTGATCTTGACTTGACTCCGGTATATCTTGAAACACCATATTCTCCTCTGAATACTCTACGAACAATTTATCTAAAGCATGCTCCTGACGAATAATGTTGTTTATTGACAACATGCAGTAGGGATTTGTCTTTGCCTACTAAGTGGATAATTAGTAATCAACTTCAAAATAGAAAATCTTACCTTTAAAATTCCAATGCAACGTTCAATAATGTTACGGCACAAGGAGTGTCTATAGTTGAACAATTCTTCCTTCCCACGCAGTCTTTACTGTCCAACATAGTCATGCAGATGATATCTTTGACCTCGATAAGAGACAAGAAATCCAGGCACGTTTGGATATCCAGTATCTAAAAAAAAAAGGCTTACACAATGTGACACTATAAATATATTTGCAATAATTATTTGAAGTATAAGAATATACCTCCTCGTGGCATTGGAAAGTTGTTCGACCTTCTTGTGACTGCGTCGACGAATGCTCGAGAATCATTAGCAATACCTTTCCAACCAAAGTACACAAATGTGAATTTCATATTAAAATCACATGTCAACATCACATTTTGTGTCACATTAGTTTTCCTTCCTCGAAAAGATGTTTGTCTTGATGCAGGAGCCCAAGCTGTAACATGTGTTCTATCTATTGCTCCTATACAATCTTTAAAGAAAGGATATTTGTGCAAAATTCGCTCATGCACAATATCTTGATTTGTCGGACGAATTATCTCAGTGCCAAACGAACAAATAGCCCTTACAACTCGTTTAAACCATTTGTGTATGATGTTATTGGAATGCTGAAACCTATCACCAATAACACTGTATCATGTAATGTGTCATACAATCATCAGAAACATAGCAACACCTCCTCAACGCTCACTTTTTTCCCATCTTTCAACAACCATTTCCCTTTCAAAATATCACAAAAATTCATGAAATCGTGCTTCTGCATACGAAAATTACAATAACACGCGTCTGGATGTCCATTCAAAATTTCTATAATGTACATTTTTCCTGTAAGTAACAATGTTCTATATGGTCTCCTACCAATGGTACTTACTTTGTTGGCAACAAAGCAATTAAGCATCATTAAATCTCCAAAATTTGTGCCAAAAGCATCCATATATAACAAATCATCATCACTTGAATCTTCATCAATGGAATCCTCGGTACTCACATTATCATCCACTTTTGATTGACTGGTCATACTGTGAACAAAATATAGCCAAAATAATTAACATAAGTCATGTCAACCACCATTCTTTCGAATAAAACAAGTAATCAAGCATCTAGAAACTGAAGAAAAATTGACATCAATTCTCCAATGTTCGACATCACTATGTTCATAAATGAAAACAGTACAACATCACCACAATACTAGAGAAATTAAAACAACACAAAGTAGTTCCAAGATAGTTCAAAACAACATAAAGTAGTCACAAATTAAAACAACAAAATACTAAAGAAATTAACACAACAGTCACATCAAAGTAGTTCCAAGATAGGTCCTTTCCTTGCTTCTGGCATCTTCACAAATGACACCCTGAAATTGGGATTCTTAAAAGTCTTTATTGTTTTCATATAAATCTTGTTGGACACCCCTTCCATATTGTTTAAGAAGTTTAAGCAAATAACATTTGAATAAGGATTGAGACTATTAACTTCACTATCCGATTGATTACTTGATTTTCTTTGGATCTTTGCCAGCTTTTCTTTTATCTAAAGTGTTCTAAGTTCAGTTTCTTCATTCTTCAAACTAACTGTAGATGACGACTGTGCCATGCAGGTCTTGAGTTTATCACTTTTACTGGTCTTAGGTTCCTTACATCGCCGTTCACCCGATGCACCAATTTCGTTACGTCGACGAGTATTTGAAACCACATCGACTTCATCATCATTTTCTGCACGTACATGCACTCTCCTATTTAAAAAATCATCTTTTAGCTGTCTTTCTTCCTCTGATGTGTTGGGAAGCCGAGTAGAGGCATGCCTAATCCTCCAGTAGCTGTAGTTCTGCTAAATATCTCCCCAAGAGTGTAGTAGTGCTTACATCCTTCCTTCTTGAATAACTTGTAATCCGACTTATTAATCTAACATTGAAAAAAGAAACCACATTGTCATTTTTTAAAAAAAAAATGTAAAATTGATAAGATAAAAATTAATGACGAAAAACATTCTTCAATAAATATATGTTACCGTATAAAAGTGTTGCCAAACTTCCTCTACAACATTAACTTTATTGGTATTTGGATCTCATGTAACATCTGTATGTCCCAAAAGTTCAGAGAACATGCAATGAATCTTACGTAAGCGGTTCCACTTTCCCTTCAATCTATTTATGCCGTAATCCATTTTTGTTGAAGCTATCATAGCTTCGTTGATCCTGCCCCATTCGTCTTTGATGAATGTAGAACATTGCAATGCATTTGATTTAACTTTCTCATAAAGAATTTCGATAAAAGCGTGTTCATTCTCGTCGGACCATGACACTGGTTCCTTATTCCTAACTCTGTGACTACCCATGTTGAAGCTATATTGAATATACATCAAATTAAGCAAAACATAGCATATTAGAATTGCCTTACCATAACCTGTTAAGCAAAACTAAAATATAAAACTTCGATTTTATCAATTAGTACGTGTAGTTTTTTAATATCCTATTTCAATTTTTTGGGGTCTTCAAGAGCTTCACTCTTGTGGGCTGTTAAAGAAGGAACTGGAGAAACTGGGATCTTCATCTTCACCCATAATGACATTTTTGGAACAATAAGTTTGTTCACCAATGCCTGAACTGACCATGATTTTTAAAAGAAACTTGTATTCATCCCAACCAAGATTCTTATTTCTCAAAACAATTCTACAAGAGGATTCGGTGTCTACCTTTCTGTCCTTAGTGGCCTTGTAGCATTCATAATTTAGCATGTAGCAGCAATTATTTTTCTGCCCCAAGAATCTTTCAAAAAGTTGAATGAAAACATAAAAGAGAAAGATAATGTAGATTGCAATGAAGAACTCCATATTCAGAAGAGAAAGAGAGGTGTGAGTTCTGTTGAGTAGCTTACAACCTACCAAGACTTTACAGACAAATTTTTTAATAAAAATATTACATAAATATTAATCAAGAGCTCACAAGTTGGCGCTTACGAAAAAAAGCAAAAGAATATACTTTTCCACATCGATAATATGGAGATTATTTTCAAACACAGAAGAATTTTATCGACCTTACTCCTACTTAGTCCACTTGTGGGGATCCTTCTCTCAAACATTTAATACCAGTCAACCACTACCAAGAAACCATATTTTCAAGCAACTACTTAGATGAATTCAGCTAATTAAAACAGAATGGGATTGTCCCTGTCAACATAGGCGGATAATGTTCTTTTCATTAGTTAAATCCTTTGCAAATTTGTTCCGACCGAAGATTAGAAGGGATTGTCCCTGTCAACATGTTATAACTAAGGTCTAAACTTTTGAGGAAAAGAAAGTTGTAGTTCCTCTAAAAGAAACAATTTTCCTATTTTTTTAGGAACAACAGGTGAAATTGTATTGGCTAAGGTTCAGGCTCTTGAGGGAATCCAATTCAAGAAATTGTGAATAAATTTCCCCAGTAATTGAATTTTGTGAAAAATCCAAGTGTTCTAACTTCCTAAAGTCATGAAATTAGGCAAAGAACCAACCAATCTATTCCTACTACAATTCAACAATTTCAATCCACTAATCTCCCGGCAATCAGTGATGAACCCACCTGGGATTGAGCTCAAATAATTATAACAGAGATCAATAGACTCCAAAAAAGGGGAAAAAAGGGTGCAAAAAATCCACTGTAACTTGTATCAATTTCGAAGGTATTGTATTCTCTCGGCAATCCACTGTAACGTGTTTAATTACCAAGAATTGTCATAAAAATGGGAAAAAAAATCTCTACATCTCTACATTTTTATACATATTAACATGGAAAATCCACCAAATGGGTTTTACCCAATTCAGAAACGCAAGTAGAATAAAAAATTCAACAATCACGAAAAAATAAATGTAGATTTTTACAGAAAAACTAAATGAGTTATCATCTATTTGTTCAAAGAACAACAAATCGAGGGCACATTAAAAAACCAGCAAACAAACTAAATAAGTGGTTGGATTAATACAGCAAAATTAATGTAGTAAATATGAAGAACGCTAACTATAGTGCCCCATAAAAGCAGAGGCAGCAATGATTTAGTGAAAGTTCACAAAAGAAATACCTAGAGCAGAAAATAGGAGAAGATGATTGATCTTCCAAAGTTTTCAGGCTGCGAACGAGGAGGAAGAGGAAAGCCTAGGAAATCTGCTCAGAATGTGATAGAGAGGAAAAAGAGAGAGAAATGTTGTTTTCAATGTGAAACGTGCGTTTCCCGTGTTTTCAAAAAATTTCAAGATTTGGCTGTAAAACACTCAAAACGAGTAAAAAGGCGTTTTGTGTTTTTAGGATCTGTTTGGCACCCATTTTTATTAAAATGTATTTTTCTCTCTGTTCTTTTCAATCACACATTTTTTATTAAAATAATATTATACTTAAATCAAAAAAAATTTCTTATTTTTCAACCACACATTTCCTATCAATTTACTATTCAAAAATTCATTTTCACATAAAAATTCCTACCAAACACCCTCTTAGTGTAATTTTATTCGTTTTCAAAAACTCGTTTTCGAAAATGGGAAAGAGAACGCGTTTTCATCGTTTTAAAAAATCGAAAATAGAAAACGACTTGAAAACAGAAAAAAGAACAACCCATAAGGGATTTGGTGACGAATTCTCTGGGATTTGAGTTCATTAGATAATATTGTAAGAGATTGTAGGATGGATTATGATCGGAATTACACTAAACTTATTGATGGAGTGGGAAATTTGGGAAAAGGTTCCCGGTATTTTCACAAAATGGGAATATTGAACAATAGAATATAGAAGAATGGACGATATTTTTGTAATCTAAAGTCCCCTCCCACAGGAATGGATTTTTTTACATAAAAATGATATAAAAGTAGTTTCCGAAAATGAGTAGAAATGGATTTTTTTACTCGTACATAAAAATGATATATAAGTAGTTACCGAAAATGACGTGGAGGGAAAATATCGGATGAAAAGTTGACTGTATTTTAAACCGACAAATAATATAGTGTTATGTAACATTATGTAATCCTTTATTTAAAAGTTAATGTACATATAGTAAGGTCAGTTTTTGCATTAGAATTAAATTGTATAAGAATTTCTTGTTAATAAATATTATTATTCTTTTCGATGTTAAATTCACCAAGTGTCTTGTATTGCATATCAAAAAATTAGACCTAATTTTTTTGAAAATCTTATGTATTTACAATTTACCAGATTTTTCAATATTTTCCATTTGAGTAATTTTTCCATCAAACACTGGTAAATTTTTCCATGGGAAATTTTCATAAGTAAGATATTAATTATGGCACATTTCAAAAACAAGAAAACAAGTTTCAAATTTCAAAAATCAGATTTTCATTAAAAAAAATTTATCATTTAATTAGTTATTTATTTATTTTAGTAATTAAATATATTGAAGTCACAAATTTATATAATTTGGTTATAAATTAACGATTTAATTAGTCACTTATTATTTTTTTATCACAAATTCACAATTTTATGTCACGAATTATTTTACGTTCACAATTCAAAAAGTTTATAGGTCACATTTTGTTCATCGATCACAAATCCAAAAAATGTATTAGTCAAAATTATAAATATTACAAGTCACAACTTTTTATACAGTCACAAATTATAAAATTATCGGACACAGATTAACAGTTTTTTAGGTCATACATTATTTTTCGATTACAATTTATTTTTTTCATTGGTCACAGATTAACCATTTTAATGGTCATAGTCAACCAAATAATTTGTGACTACCACCAACACTTACGATTCACAGTCACAATTTTTAGGTCACGTATCCAATACGAGTTACAGTCACAATTTTCAGGTCACGAATCAAATTGTGAGTCACAAGTCAACCAAACCACCACGACCACCGCCATGACCACCACAACCACCTCAGAGACCAACTGTGACTCCAACCAAATTCATCGCTGCCACATTTCACAACCACAATCGCATGCTTTAACAATCATTGGCCACCTCCACCTCCATCTCCATCCGCGACTCCAATCAACCTCCACACAAACCATCACCGTCGCCTGCTAGAAATCCACCATCTCATACAACACTACCATACCACAGCCACCACCTCACAAATGTTGCGATGGCTACGACTGCGGCACACATCCTGGTTGTGCACAACGACGCATCTTGTCAGCAGCATAGAGCGATGTACTTTGAGCTGCGCACAACGACTGTCAAAGGCTGCTTCTCACGACAATGGCCACAGAAAATAAAGGATGGGGAGGAGAGAGACAGGAGAAGGGCATGCCTCTCTTTGCGGTGGAGGTAAGTTGTCGAAGATCTGCGGACTTGCGGTAGAGGTAAGACCCCGAAGAGCTGGGCACCATCGATGAAGGAAGTTGGTGGAATGAAGAGAGAGGACAGAGGTAGAGAGAGAGAGAAGAAGGGAAAAGTGATTAGGGTAATGATGGTGGTTAATGTAATTTATATTAATTTTATAATATTATTATTAATATTAAAATTTTTAATTATAATCTGATTTTCGAAGTGGGGTCTTCAAAAATATGGATAAATGTAATTTCCACTTTTCCCATTATGAGTCTCACTCGGCCCAAACTACTTAAATTATGAATTGGGCTCAAATGTTAATTCAGCCTAAACCCAAAAATTACACAACCCGGCCCGTAGTTGACCCATTCCGCTCGGGAGTAAATATTTTGGCGCGAAGGTTTGCCTGTTGGCACTTTTTATCCCGCGCCTGCCGCCACCGCTATTTCCAGAACTACGGCAGAATGATCTGGTGAATCACGCTTAAATTATTCAATGGACAGCATATCAGGGCTTCGGCCGCCGCAATTCTCCGAGGTTCAGTGATCTTATTGCTAATTTTCACATTTATCATAATTCCGTTCATCTGTTTCATTTTCAGATCTTTTTTCTGAAATAATCTTTGAATCAAAAGATACAGAATCACTTGCATTTCACACTTTTCTTCTATGCTTGTGCCTACTGTTATGGAACTATCAATTTGTTACAAGTAATTTCCTTATCCTTTTGGTTGCCATAGGACCCAGCCTGGCTCCCGGGATGGCTTCAGCAATGCGATTTTCAACCATTAAGTGTCGAGGTCGTTCAGAAAGAACCCATAACTTTTCAGCAGAGTGTTGACGTAAATATAGTAATAGCTGTTTTATGTGCTTGTTTCTAGGATTATTTATGGAGCGTCGTCTTTGGACATTTTGATTGATTAGAAAATAAAATATGTTTACATTTTAATATATATTATTGACCCGGCCTCTGGTCAAGTTGATTTCTAGGAGAAAATACATACAAGATTTATTGTTGATTAAGTGTGAAGAATTTGTTGCAGTACTTATATTTACTGAAAATTTGAAACTAAAACTATTGGTTGAGGTGGAAGAAAGTAATGCTTTGTGCAAGTGGAATTTGGCTGATGAAGATATATCCTACTGGTTAAAAGAGATAACAGGAAATGGATGGATTTTGTATCTTTTAGTTTAGTTTTGCAGCTGCCTGGAAGTTATTTATGCTCTGCAATCACCTTCTTTAACTTGGGGGATATCACATGTCGTTTATGCTGTTGAAATTGCTCATTGCTTTAGCTTATAACGTGGGATATAAACTAGCGATTTTTTTCATTTTTCATTTTTCCCCTTTTTTATGCTAAAAATGTTTGACTGGCATAGTGTTTTGTAATTGTGGTTTAAAACGGATTTTGACTAATTTCCTTGCATTTGGATAGAGATTGCAATTTCCTCAGGATAACGTTAGCAAAGGGGAATCAGTGATAGATAAAGGTGGATTTGTGATTGGTCAATTGTTTCTATCAGGAAATGACAGTTCACCATTTACTTGTGCTCAATCTATAGAAAATGTAAGTTCCTTGTGTAATGTGATTCTAATTCAGTAACTAATTCGTGTGAACGTCATTGGAGATGTTGTGTTTATATATAATTTTCATTTGATGTCAGTGAAATTTATTTTCAATTCCTGGAGATTATGTACTCCTTTTAAGAGGTATAGAATCTTGCTGGGAAGAGTGCCATAGAGTTCCAGGACCACCTTTCATACACCTATGCATACTATGATTGACTCGTTGCTTTTCTCGTCTCTTATGCTGTGAATGTCTAGAGTTAATTACATTGTGTTTGTAATTCGCTGAATGCTCTGAAAGTTTATAATTTTAGGCTGCTTTAGAATACAAAAAGTCATTTCAAATTATTTGGATCATTGACTATTTTGAAGGCACTTCATTTCTTAAGAATTCAAGTTATCCATAAAACAATGTGTCAACTCTTGAAGCAAAGTCATCTCTTTCATAACTAAAAATATTTAGAAATCAAAATATTAATATATATTTGTTCTATTTTTTTCATGCACTTTACTGGGCAAAAATATTATATAAAAAATAGCTCTCGTTTCCCTTCAGGAGAGGTTCTGCTTCCCATATTTGTCCCAGGGGCCTTCGGGACTCGGATAGTACATTCACTCCGCATGAGTGGAGGATTTGAAGAAGAGGAACTTTCTCAACTATATTGATGTACATATACTTGGATCTAAAATTCAATTAAAAGAAAACAAAGGATTGTAATCTATCATTTTTACAATATTTTAGTCCATAACACCAAGAATAATATATTTCCTATCATCTGTTCTGGCTCTCTACACTAGTATTAATTATTGCGGGGCAGGAGTTTTGACAGAAAAATTCTGGAAAGAGCTTAAATGCCAAAAAAATGCAAAAAGGAACATTCTATTTAGACAAAGACGGTATAATGTGTGCTTTCACTTGTAATTTTGCATTTTCTATTCTTCATCAGTTTCGATAGCTGGAGACTTTCTTATTGATGAACATCAACTACAAGAGACATAGATAATTTACACTTATACTGACCAGATCTCTGTTGCTGAAATAGTGTAATTGGTTGCTTGATGGCTTCAGCTCTGTATCCTGACACTTTTTCTTTCTCTTAACTTTTTGTGAATTCCTTCTCCTTTTGAACCCGTTTTGTGGCTTGAAATTCATAAATCCACCTAAAACTCAGTTATAACTATGGCATGTCTCTTTAGAAGGTGGTATACTCTCATCTTCATCTGTCACTGGATGGCAATTCAGAGAAGACAACTCTAACTACTGAGACAAATCAAACAGAGTTGGATCATCCTTTGGCCACGCAACCTTTTCAAAGTTCCAGAGTTCTACAGGAGAAGGTGGATGAATTAAGTCCAAGCCATAATTCTAGTGCAACATATTTGTCTTCAATGGTGCAGTTGGAAGAACCACCTGACAAGAATGAATCAGTGAAACATGAAGAAAATGTGAAATCTTCTGAAGCTGCTGCTACAGCACTCGAACTGAGTATAGCAGCATCTGAAGCACTCGTGATTCATGAAATAATCAGTAGTGACCCATTTATGAAACATTCTCCAGCTTCAACTATACTTGAAGCTGCCCTTCAGGTGAAACAAGCTCGGTTGGAAGCTTGGAGAAACACCAGCAGTAGCTCAGTCAATGAAATAAGTGAAATCGATCATCTATCAGACTTGGATAATATGACTATGGAAGATGCATACGAAGATATTGGGATTCGTTTTGATGACTCTCATGGCATTGAGTTAAGTGTATCTCAAGTTAAGGATTCTCTCGACCCTGAATCGGATGCCGATAAGTATGAGACAGGTGCTTCTGCAATTGATTGTGGTAAAACTAGTGATATAAGCCCTAAACAAAGACTGGGAGTTGTTTTACATGATGGCATGCAAGAAACAGAGTATTTTAAAAAACGTTTTGACAAGAACACAAAAAACAAGAAAGTTAAAAATCCAGATTGGGGTTTGGGTTCTACCAGTGTGGGATGTCACAATGATTTCCTGGAGCTTATTCCAGCAGAGGAAAATTTTGATTTTTCGACTTCGATAGAGGTATAATAATAAATATTATTTTTTTCAAATTGTCATTTGACACTTCTTTGTCATCTATAACTATTGTTCCATGGGATGTCACTTTTCACTTTTTGGTTGTATTAAAATCCCCTCATCTCTGACTTGCAATTGAACTTCTATGACTTAGAAATTCGTGGGTGCGTGTGGAGAATTTTCTTCATTTTCAATTATGTAAAGCTTTGTGATTTGTTTAACTTCCTTTATGCAGAAAGTCGATGTGACCATCACAGAAAAAGATTCATTTCAAGCAAATGCAAACTCTTCTCCAACTGAGAATCATCAAGAGGCTGGTAAAGTTAGAGGGATCTACTTCCTTATTCTGCTTTCTTGTTCACTGTTAAAAAAATTATGATCTTTACTAACCTGTGGCTTTCCTTTACTCTAAACAGAAGAATATAATGATGTGTCAAATATAGTTCAAGAGCGATTCCAAAGCCGTTGGTATGGTGGTTGGACCTGGAAGGTATGTATCAATTTGTGAAATTTTGTTCCCATGATACTTATCGCTTTAACCTGTTTGCCCTTTTGGTGCACCATACGCTCTTATGGAGATTTGTTTTCCAATGCTTCAACCATTTCAATTTAGAGGTGAAGAGTATGTTTGCATGGCTTCGTTCTTTAATCTTCTATTGTGATTAGAATTTTGGCTCTTGACGTCTATAATTCTTCCTTTTAGTCAATTTGCAATTGATATGTTTATTGCTGCTTATGCTAAACAACCAAGAAAAAATCATCCTTTTTTAGTGCATAAAGTAGCTATATGTGAAAAATAACTAAAAATCCTTAAATATGTCACAATTACTAATGAAGACGAGTTATGTTTTTTGCTGTTTGAAGATTTTGTGGGATTTCAAAATTTTAGAAAGCACTTCAGGCTTTTAAGCTCGTGATTTTTTCTCCCTTTTTCATTAGCACATTAGGATTTTATTTATTTTATTTTATTTTTTTATTATTATTTTTTTGTTCTGTGACATTGAAACAAGATTCAAATATTGTTTCTTGTTCTTAACAAAATGAAATGATGACTTAGTATTCGACTTAAAAATCAAGTTCTGTCTTGAACATAGATACATAATTATGAAGAACATATTCAGGCTTGCACTTCTGCCCCAACCACGTTGCTATAAATTTTTACGACCTGAATATTTTTACCAGACTGAATGCCTGCATCTAGTTTTATTTTGCATTTAATAAAGTTTTGCTCTTCAATCATCTATGTCTACATCTACCAGATTCTTTTCTATTTAAACTAATATATTTTACTTTCTTTTGCTTTCTTATTATCATCCACTCTGCAGAAAGAAGTGAAATGTGTTGCTACAATGAAACATAACATTCCAGAACCTTTTGTTCGTGAGACAAGCTTTTTATCAGAATCAGCAGATGTTGCTCCAGATGAGAATATATATATATATTTATATATATATATATATATATTATATCATGTTGCATCGTTAATTTGTTGAGGAACTAGACTAAAAATCTGATCTTGTGTAACATGAACCTGCTAAAAACTCATCTGTAAGCTCTCTGTAATCATACTATTGCTAACTTTTCTGTTCTCTTTTCATGTTTTCTTCTCACTTACTCGATAGTGGCTTATTTCTGACTCTTTCAAGATGTGTCTACTGATCTACCTTTGTCCTGGCTTTTAACTATATAAGAATAATATTTTACAGGTTATAACATTATTTGATGCCTACACCATAACATTAACTTCCCTATTACCCGAATGGAAGGGAACTGCGGACTATCCTAAGGATAAAGTTGAATAATCCAAATAAAAGAATCTAAAATTATTCGTTGCTGTCGGGCAAAGTATGAAATCAATGTGTTAATCCATCTTTGATCAGACAAAAATTGTATTTTATCCATTGAAAATTTTACAGACTTGAGCATCATTGACCATTAATTTTCTTTGAGATTGGGCAATTTTTGGATCACTTAGTGTTAATTGACTTCATTCGAATACGGAATCTATTTATTTTAACACCAATGATTGACCCAGGTATCATTTTGCATCTAGTGTGTTCCCAATTTGCGCACTCTGTTGATTGATTTACTCATGAAATTTGAATTTAATTTGGAGTACCCTGAGTGGTCTAACATCTAACACGTGATCTTATTATCTCAGCTACAAACAATACAATTCTTGTATGGGTGTGCAGTGATGGCCTTTATTCTTAAAGTTGATTGGCTAACAGATTCAATTGCTGCGGGTTTAATCTTGCCACCCGAAAAGTATGTCCTTTGACATGCCCAGATTTATATTTTTCTTGTCTTCATTTGCATGCACAACTTCATATCACATTTATTTCAGTGAAACACAAACTACACCAACTACAGTCGACATACAGACGTTACTGCTGCATCTCTGAATCCATGTAATGTCAATAACTGGTTACGCTCTAGAAAATTGTATATTTGGAATGCGTGATTGATCATATAGTGTATAGTTTATCAAATTGATGCCTCATGTACACTTGAATCAGATTTCTACAATTGTAAGATGAGGAAGGTAAAGCGAGGATTATCTATACACGATATTTTTGTAGGCTGATTATATGGAAATGAAAGTGATCTTTTACTTTCTGTAACAGAGACATGCACAAAATTCTAAATACTTGATACATGGTAGTTATTGGTGAGTGGCATGTTAAAGTTCCAATAACAGATTGCTTTTCTATGCACATAGAAATTTATATGCTCTCATCTTATCCTATTTTTGGTTACTGAAAAAGAGACAAACACCCCTGTTGATAAGAAAAACTAAAGTTACAGTAATTGGTAATTAACTCATTGATATAGGCCTTTTTGTGCAAGTTCTCAGCAAATTTCAGTAGAATAGTTTTCCATTTGAAAAGGCTGAACCCCTATGTTGTAAAAACTCATGCTATAGAGTAGGATGGCTAGAAACTAGAGAATAACAATGAACCTAATTACCTAAAATCTATTCAGTGCTTTTCCTCAATACTCACCTCAAAAGTAATTGAATGTACCTAGCAACATAAACTGTGGCAAAAGAATTAAATTTAACCATTAACTGTAGTTTGACTGTATAATTTTAATACAACAATGTTGCTTAAGAAGATTGCGAGTAACTGTTGTATCTTTGGTGCTTACTGGTAATTGTAAGCCATCCCCCACTGATACTGTAACATAACATCATTTCAAAGGTGAACTACAAGCAGATGGTCCATTATAATCTATCGATGAGAGAATTGAACATAATTCTATTTGATTCATTCCCTCAAACTGTACCCTGTGGCTCTTATGAAGCTTATATCAGATCTTTTCTTTTATACTTATAAAAACCCACATAAGTTCATTCTTATGGGTTGATGGTGAATTTCCCCTGATTACCATGTCTGTCGATTTATAATTATATTATTGGGTTTCGGTAAGATATGCCATCCGGCATTGCATGGAGAGTCTTTTTCTGAGTGTTCTTTTTACAATGATAAAACTACCGTAACAAATAAAAATTATATGAACTGTACTGCTGATTTTCCATATATCTTTTACCTTCACTTTTTTACTCGCATTCTAAATTGATTTAACTTTTCAGATATATGATCTTATCCCAAAATGTCAGGGGAAGGCATGTACAAGGTCACTCCAAAAGCTATCCCTTAATTTTTGACAATATGGGGTTCATGATTCTAGGAAAACCCAAAATATTCACCAAAATGGAAATCATTGTCAAGGTAAAGGCTTGCTTGCATGGTAGAGTGAGAAGATGTTCACTTTTTGCTGCCTTTTTCTTCTCGGAACTTACTTTTATATTTATTCCATTAAGATTGGTGATATTGGGATAACAAATATAAAAAAGGAAATGGAAAAGCAAGCAGTTGGATGTGCATTTATTGATAATAGAAGAACCAACTGCATTATTACCATGCTGTACGTTAATATAGATTTGTGCATGTATTTCGGTCTAGAAAACCTAATAAAGTTACACATAGAGGGTTCATGGCATAAAAAGGTAAACGGAAGGTTAAGTCTCATTTCTGTGCCACAGGCCACAAAAACTCTTGAGAACAAAAAGATAATATTTACTCTATAAGTATTCTACAAAGAGGTGCTGTCAAGTTCCAAAGTCATGAACTTTGATACCTGAAAGAACAAAAGCTTGATTTTAGTCAGTACTCAGTAGTGAAGAATGATGCAGCTTAGTAAACTAAACTTGAAGAAATCCTTTAAGGTTTAATATTATTGTAACTACATTATCTACATGCATCTTGATGGATTTTCTTTTCCTTTTTCGTTTTTATTTTTCTAAATATGTTGCCTTAAAGTATCAAGGCAAGGCATGTACTTCGACAAATTGTTTAATAAGTTGTTAAGGTGTAAAAGGATACATAATGAATGGATAAAGAGTGTTATGGTTCCTATCTATAAGTAAACTAGTTATTAAAGATTGTGCTTACTGTCAAGGCTTGAATAAAGAGTGCTCTGGTCCATATATAAGGGTAAAGGAGTTATTCAAGATTGTACAAAATGTCTGGCTTCAGGTTCATCAATCGTATTATGAACTTACTAAAGATGAGGATTAAATGTAAAATAAGGTGTATTTTAAAGGTGCTAGAGAAGTGGTTTTGGATTATGTGAGGGAGATATGTTATTGAAGCCCTTCGCACATTTCAATATTTGATGGAAAATGTAAAGAAAAACAACAAGACTTGTATTTATTCTCTCTAGTAAATTTTGGGGGAAAACTTTAAAATTCAAGTGTTTAAGTTAGGTAAAACTAAGATACATTACATGACACTTAGTCATAGTATGAACAACACTGATGGTTGAATCGAGATAGAGTATCATTTGTCCCCAGATAGCTAGCTTTAAGTTCAAATGTACAAGGAGAGAGACTTACAGAGAATGTGATGCATAGTATTATAGTGAGTTGGACAAAATGGAATATTGGCTATACCATGTTTTGCCTTCATATTTTGAGTTCGAAGGTGACCCTCTGCTAAAAAGCCATAGAACACACTAGTCTTGAGTCAAATCAAGATTTATCTTGGCAAAAAAAAAAAAATAGTTCTTTTATAGTTTGGTTAACAGCAGCTCATACCTGTGCGACTAGCATATATTTTCTGTCATGTCGATTATTTAAGTTTTAGTCCTTGTATATTTTTCGAGATCAATCACTCCTTGCATTTAAATTTCTCATCTTTACCTATTCATACCCATCTTGAAACCCCCTACTTTCTTTATTCAAACACCTAGAGATGAGCAAAAACAGTATAATTTTTTTCTATCTCAGAAACTATATGGCTCTAACCTTTTGAGAGCCAACTCCACAGTAGCTCTAATGAATATTTGTTCAAAGACCTTTTCTGGACTATAAAATTTTCTAAAGTAAATGGCCTTCTTTGCATCTTACTTAAATCTCATGTCTCATTGTTTGTAGTTTGTCAATATTGCTTTCCCATTTGTTTCAATGAAAAGATCATGAAATAATTTTAACCTTCTTTTGATCTGTTGATTGCTCAGCATGGAGGTGGTCAGGTTTTCAAAACTCTCCAAAGTTTAGTCCAGAGTCTTGAATCAGGAAGAATTTCTATGGGTTTTGTTATTGCTGATGGGAATAATGCATATCGTCATTTGAAGCATTGTACAAAGGAGCAGAACATTCCCATGGTGGTCAGTTTTAATCGTTGCCATTGTTAATACTCTAATTAACTAAGATGAAGTAGAACCCCAAAAGCTCAACCAAATTTGAAAATTTCTGCTAAATTTTACATTTGTAAGGGCTGAGTATATTCACTAGACTCATCTTCCCCGTTCATCCAACTGAAGATTATTGCTTATTCGATGCAGTCAGTTTACTGGACCATAAAGTGCTTACATGCGGGAAAGATTCTTCCATTGAAGGAGAAGAAGAATCCACATTACATTTCATCTAATAAGCTTCTTGAACTTCGAGATCCCATGGATTTGAGTGAAGAAATATGAAACTCTCCACTTACGGCCTCTGCAAGTACTTTATGGTGTTTCACGTTTTCAGGTATTTCAACGTGATGAAAAACTCGTAAATTATTTGAATCTACTAATTAGTTGTAATTCATATGGTTTCCATTGATAAATCATTACAAGTAAAGTAGTTTGCTCATTGATAAGTGTATTTTATACATTTATTTAGACCATTAAAATTGAGTATTTGTTAAATAATTTGATGGAATATGACTTAATCCTATTTATATATTGTGTGTAGGTTACAATCAATGGAAGATACGAGAATGAAGAAAATAAGCAGGAAAAATGACTCAATTACATCAAGGCAAAGTTGGGAGGACTAGAATGCAATAATCCAAAAGTTGAATGGGACCAAAGAACGATGAGTTGAGAACACCAAGAGTCAATTGGAGTTGAAGAGAAGCTAATGGGATAAGAAATTTCAGGAAAGAACCAAAACACGCTTCAAAAAGTTTAGGGATCAAATTGCAAATTGGCCCCTAAAATAGTTGTACTGTGCGTACGCATAGGCTTGCAGGTCATGCGTACGCATGATTGGAAAATTTAACTTCCAAAGCTAAATTGATGTCACTATGCATACACACAAAAATGTACCATGCGTACGCATGGTTTAATTCTGACAAAAAAATTCTGTTTTGGAAAGTCTTGGGTTACAATTCTTTATACGATATTTATACCAAAAGTCGACAAAAACACAGAGAACCTAATTTTTATCATATTGGAAGTCGACAAAGAGGAAAAGAGAGCGGGATATACATTGAAGAATAAGATTTCATCACTTGGATACGAAATTGAAGGCATAAAGTGGAGGATTTCAAATTCTTTTCATACTTTAATGATTCAGGTGATGTTGTTCTTTTATTTTTCCTGTTTTTCCTACATTAATATGCTAGGTTAGATATCTTTGTATTGGATGGATGAAAAAACTGATTGACTTCTAGTTTTTAATTCAAGATTTTATGTTTTTATCTTAATTTTTGTGTTGTGGTTTCTTTAATATGCATATCTATATTGTTTTAATATTTGCGCACCATTAGAATAATAAGTTGCTGTAGAATACTGTTATCGAAACGCATGGACAATGAATGTTAGGAATAATATTTGTGACGTGTGCGATCATGTGTGATAATCCTATACATCAATGCATGTTTACCATATGAATTCGGACTAAGAATATGATCGTTTCGTGGTAATCATAGGTTTATTATATTTTGGGAAAGAATAATAAATAAATGTGGAATTATCGATCGTCACAATTGCATGAGTTGAGATAATTGTCATAGGATGAGAATTAGAACTAAGAGTTGATCAGTGGCGTCGGAAATTCAATACATTCACTCATTTGAATTCTAAAACAAATTCTCATAAATTTTGCAAATTTTTAGTTATAGAACTTAATTAGCTATTTAAACAAACGTCAACTTTTAGTTAAACTCACGAATTTAATTATATCAAATATACTGGAATTAGACCTTATTCCCTGTGGGACGATAACTCTTTCATCACAATTATTACTTGTACAATGAACATGTACGCTTGCGGGATTTTAACGAACAAGTTTTTGGCACCGTTGTCGGGGAATAACGGTATTAATTTTAGTTATTAGATATTTTAAATTCGTTTATTTTTATTTTTATTTGTATTTCATTTTTAGTAGTTGCTGTTAGGCTACTATTACACCGCTTAGTTTTCTTGTGTCTTGACACTTTTGAAGCGACATTAGTTTATGCAAAATCTTGAGGAACCAGATCTCTTCCCAATAGATCACGAAATAGAAAGAACATTTAGAAATTGTAGACGAGTTCAACGTCAAGCAAGGAGAATAGTCGATAACCAAAATCAACCACAACATCAGGTCCAGTTTCACGAGCAAATACCGCAACCAAATCAATCGAGAGCTATCCAGAACGAAGCCCCTGTCTTAGTTGGAGATTACGTCAATCCAATCCCTGCACTAGTGCAACTAGCTGTAGTAAATCCTCCCTTTGGACAACCTAATTTTCACCTTCGACCAGATGTCATCAATTTGTTCCAAAATCACCAAGACATCAAGTTCTTTGGAAAAGCCACAGAGAATCCTCATGAACATATTTTGGCATTTCTTATGCTATGTGAGATAATCAGTCACGAAGAAATATCAACAGGCGCATTCGAATGAGATTATTCCCTCATACCTTGAAGGACACTGCAAGTGAATGATTTCTTTGTTTACCACCTGAGAGCATTCAATCTTGGAACGATATGATTCAAAAATTCACGATGAAATTTTTTCCACCTTCTCGAGTTCATCAAGTCAGGAATGAAGTCCACACTTTCAAGCAGAAAGAGCTCGAAAGCTATCCGGAGGCATGGGAAAGATTCAAGAATTTTTTCAAGAAATGCCCTAGCTCTGACATCCCTAAAAAGGTTCAGCAATATCTATTTTACTACGGTCTAAAGCAAGAATTCAGAAATATGATAGATGCTTTTGCAAGAGGATCGGTGATGAAACTTGATGTGGATGAGGCATATGACTTGTATGAAAGAATAGCTGAGAATCAATCGATGTGGCCAACCGATAGGAAAACTCCAAGGAAGACAGCAGGACTGCATAATGTAGATGTAGTAACAGCACTGGCTGCACAAATGGAAGTTCTTACAATGAAAATGGATAATCTATCTCAGTCAGTTAATATAGTACATCAATCCCACCGGTTTGTGAAGGTTACGGACCTGATCATAATACTATGCACTGCTCTCTGGCGTCTACACATGTTAATCAGTCTGAGGAAGTGAGCTATGCTCAGAACTTTCAGAGACAGCAAAATACTCCCTTCTCTAACACATTTAATCCGGGTTGGAGAAATCATCCAAACTTTTCTCGGTCGAGCAATCAGGGACAAGGACAAGGAGGTAACAATCAGAATAAACCACCGGGGTTCCAACAGCAGCAACAACAACAAGGAAAGAAACCGTCTTTAGAAGATTTGCTGGCTCAGTACATTACTAAAACTGAGACCAATTTTCAAAATCAACAGGCCTCAATCAAGAACTTGGAACAATAGGTGGGACAGATTGCAGCCGCATTACCAGGTAGAGCTAAAGGGACGTTACCTAGCAACACTGAGACAAACCCTAAGGAGCAGGTCAAAGCCATAACTACACGAAGTGGAGTCCAGCTACCAGAAATACATGTAAAGCAGCCAGCAACTATCACAGAAAAGACACCTATAACGGGTGAAGAGCAAGTTGATGAATTAGACAACACAACAGAGGAAAATCAAATCGAGTCATCGGGCAGTCCACGAGTTAAGACAAGCACTCCTGTCAAAGCATATGTGCCTCCAATCCCATTTCCACAGAGATTGCAAAAACACAAGCTAGATAAGCAGTTTCAGAAATTTTTGGATGTATTTAAGAAACTGCACATTAACATACCGTTCGCTGAAGCCCTAGCTCAAATGCCGAGCTACGCCAAGTTTATGAAAGACATCTTATCAAACAAGAGGAAGCTAGAAGACAATGAAACGATCATGCTTACTGAGGAGTGCAGCGCATTCTCCAACACAAATTACCATCGAAACTAAAAGATCCAGGAAATTTTACTATTCCTTGTAATATTGGTAATTTGTATATAGAGAAGGCATTATGTGATTTAGGAGCTAGCATCAATTTAATGCCCTTATCTCTTTTCAGGAAACTAGGGTTGGGGAAGCAAAGGCGACTACAATTTCACTGCAGTTAGCCGATAGGTTGATCAAGTACCCGCGAGGTATTTGTGAAGATATTGTGGTCAAGGTAGATAAGTTTATCTTCCCAGTGGACTTCATTATTCTAGATATGGAAGAAGATCGGGACGTCCCCCTCATATTGGGTAGCCCATTTTTGGCTACGGGAAGGGCTCTGATAGATGTGCAAAAGGGTCAGTTAATATTGAGGTAGATGAAGAGGAACTGACAATCAATGTATTTAGAGCCTTCAAATTTCAGAATGAACTAGATTTTTGCATGCAGATTGACATAATAAGGGAAGCAGTGTCAGAGACATTCAAACTTGATCACCCTCCAGATCCGCTTGAGGCTTGCTTGGTGCATTCTCAGGAATTGCCATCGGAGAAAGAGGAAGCAGAAGAGTGTGCACGTTATTTGGCAGCCATACCACCACTTTTCAAGCAGCCATGTTTGGAGCTCGGTGAAAGACCCACAAAACCTTTACCATCTATACAGCAAGCTCCAACTCTTAAACTTAAACAGTTGCCCATTCATCTGCGCTATGCGTATCTGGGGGAAAAGAATTCGCTCCTAGTAATTATCTCGAACAATCTTACAGAATCAGAGGAAGATCAGCTGCTAAGAGTACTTCGGGAGCACAAGACAGCATTAGGATGGACGATATCAAACATAAAAGGAATCAGCCCTTCACTTTGCATGCACAAGATATTGATGGAAGATGATTACAAAGCTTCAGTTGAGCATCAACACAGATTAAACCCGAATATGTAGGAAGTGGTAAGAAAAGAAGTATTAAAGCTTTTGGATGCAGGGATAATATATCCCATATCAGACAGCCATTGGGTCAGTCCAGTACAAGTAGTGTCGAAAAAAGAAGGAATCACGGTAGTCCCAAATGAAAATAATGAGCTCATCCCTACACGGACGGTCACTGGTTGGAGAGTCTGCATTGATTATCGCAAACTCAACAATGCCATTAGGAAAGATCACTTTCCCCTCCCTTTCATCGACCAGATGTTGGATAGACTCGCTGGACATCCTACTACTGTTTCTTAGATGGTTATTCGGGGTTCAATTAGATTCCTATAGCACCCGATGATCAAGAGAAGACAACATTTACATGCCCTTATGGCACTTTTACTTATAGGAGGATGCCCTTCGGCCTTTGCAATGCTCCAGCCACCTTTCAACACTGTATGATGTCGATTTTCTCAGACATGGTGGGACATATTATTGAGGTGTTTATAGATGATTTCTCAGTGTTTGGAAAATCATTTAAGGAGTGCCTTGAACACTTGGGAAAAGTGCTGCAGAGATGTGAAGACACAAACCTTGTATTAAATTAGGAAAAATGTCATTTCATGGTTTAGGAAGGGATTGTGTTAGGGCATTTGATTTTAGCACAACACAGGGTATTGAGGTCGATAGAGCTAAGATACAAGTCATTGAAAAACTACCACTGCCGGTAACAGTTAAGGGAGTTAGAAGTTTCTTGGGTCACGCTGGGTTCTACCGTCGTTTCATCAAAGATTTTTCCAAAATCTCGAAGCCATTATGCAATCTACTGAAAAAAGGGGCCCCATTTCACTTTTTTGAGGAGTGCTTGACAATTTTCAACATCTTAAAAGAAAAATTAATTTCTGCTTCAGTATTGGCTTCCCCAGATTGAATTATCCATTCGAACTTATGTGTGATGCCAGTGATGATCACGCAGTGGGGGCGGTGTTGGGTCAATGAAAGGAGAAGAGTTCCCATGTTATTCACTATGCCAGTAAGACTTTGGATGAGGCTCAAATGAATTATGCGACTACAGAGAAAGAGCTTTTGGCAGTAGTGTTCGTCGTTGACAAATTTAGATCATACTTGATTGGGTCAAAAGTGATAGTCTATACGGATCATTCAACCTTAATATCTACTAAGCAAGAAGGATGCAAAGCCGAGGCTTATTCGATGGATACTCCTATTGCAAGAGTTTGATTTGGAGATCAGAGATAAAAAGGAGAGTGAGAATGTTGTGGCAGATCACCTTTCTCGCCTCGAATCGCATGAGTCAAACCCTACAGTGGAGATTAATGAAGTTTTTCTTGATGAAATGCTTTTTCAGATTATCACTACACCATGGTACGCCGATTATGTCAATTATTTGGCCCGCTCGATCATCCCACCAGACTACTCAAGTCACCAAAAGAAGAAATTCTTCAGTGATCTAAAACAATACTTTTGGGATGATCCAATTCTTTATAGAAGGGGTCTAGATCAAATCATACGTCGTTGTGTACCAGAGGTAGAGCAGCATCAAATGTTAGAGTCATGTCACTTTGCACTGTATGGGGGTCACTTCGTAGCAACCAAGACAGCAGCAAATGTACTACAATCGGGTTTCTATTGGCCTACGTTGTTCAAGGACGCACATTATATGGTGAAAAATTGTGACAAGTGTCAAAGGACTGGAAATATCTCAAGAAAGAATGAGATGTCTTTAAACAACATTTTGGAAGTTGAAATTTTCGACGTTTGGGGCATTGACTTCATGGGACCGTTCCCTCCCTCCTACGGTCAATAATACATACTAGTGGCAGTGGACTACGTTTCTAAGTAGGTTGAAACTGTAGCTTTGCCAACTAACGACGGGTGAGTGGTAACTCAATTCATGAAGAAGAACATTTTCACTCGATACAGCACTCCCAGGGCAATCATTAGTGATGGTGGAAAGCATTTCTGTAATCGATTATTTGCATCGTTGTTGGCCAAATATGGAGTAAAACACTGTGTCTCGACTCCGTACCAACCTCAGACTAGCGGGCAAGTGGAAATCTCCAACAAGGAGTTAAAGAAGATTCTCTAAGCTACAATCAATGCTTCCCGCAATGATTGGGCTAAGAAACTAGACGATGCACTTTGGGTTTATAGAACAGCGTTTAAGACTCCAATTGGCATGTCTCCATATCGACTGGTGTTTGGAAAGGCCTGTCATCTGCCCATTGAGTTAGAGCATAAGGCATATTGGGCAACTCATTGCTCAATTTCAATATGAGGGCGGCAGGAGAAAAGAGGGTTCTACAACTCCATGAGCTAGAGGAATTTCGTTTGGATTCATATGAGAATGAAAAGATTTACAAGGAGAAAACCAAGAGATGGCATGACAAACATATAAGAGAGAAGGATTTTGAAGTAGGCTAGCAAGTATTGATGTTCAATTCACGTCTCAAACTCTTTCCTGGAAAGCTAAAGTCTAGGTGGTCAGGTCCTTTCACAGTAGCAGCCGTGCTTCCACATGGTACTGTATAGGTAGTATCTCAGGATGAACAGAGAAGGTTTAAAGTGAATGGACAATGGTTGAAAGCCTATTGGGGAGGTGACTACTCCAATGAGAAGACGATCGTACCTCTTAATAGTGCAAAGTAGCCTGAGCAACAAAGTTGAGCTATAGACTATAAAAATAGCGCTTATTGGGAGACAACTCAACTCTCTTCCCTTTTATTTATTCCGCTTTGTTGCATTAGATTAGGATTTTTATATGTTTTCTTTATTGCTTGGGTGTGTTAGATAGATTAGGTGTCATCCATTCATTACTTAGTTGTTGAGTCAATTCACAGGTCACGCAATTTCATATTTGTTTTACACAAGTTTAGGGGAGTTCAATCATTCTAGACATGCAATTGGAGGGCATCACGAATATCTAGATAAAAAAATGAGATGTTATAGTCATCAAGGCTGAAACGTGTAATTTTGGGTACAAGAATGACTTACTTATAATCTATTGATTCCCGCATCAATTGCACATTTTTTGATCATAGTGGTAAAGGTATTAGTTTGGGAGTGGAACACGAGTGGTTGGGGTCGGTTTAAACCAAAACGAACCTTTCAAGATTGGCGTTGAACTTCTATGTCATAATCGTTTTGCATATTTCTAAACTGTATTATGTCAAAAATTCAGTCAGGGGTGGGTATGGAGAGTCAGTTAATAAAATATATATATATATATATATATATATATATGGTTAACCATGCGTATGTACAGACCTGCAGGCCGTGCGTACGCACGGTTGGCAGATTGGCCGCTCTAGGCCAATCTGCTTGGGCTGTGCGTATGCATGGCTTGGACCATCGCCTTTTTCTCCAAATCCCCTCCCCTATCTCTTGGGCATTACAAAATTAGCACATTAGAACACTTTGCATATCAAAGTCCTGAGTCAACTTCTCTACTTGCCAAACAATTCGAAGGTAATGTGTTTCTTTGCAAACTCTTGGGCTACAATTTTTTGTTCATTAACGTACAAATTGATGAATTTTTTATTATTATTGTGGAGGTTGGGCTTAGGTAGATGGTGGATTTTGTTTAATTTGATGTTAACATTGGTAGATTCATAACAAAATATGCATTTGGACATTCTCGCTACAACATTGCCCACAACGTGTTTGTTTAATTGTCCCAAAGACTCATTGGTCTACATTTTAGCTTGAATTTTTGCACAGCACTTGGGCTTTCCTCTCTATTGTATAACTTGAAATTGAAAGGAAACTACACGTTGTACTTACCACCCCTTCCACAGCCCTTCCGTGTTCTTCCCCACACATAACACTACACTTTGCTCTTCGTTTGGTACTCATGGTATTCTCTTGATAACAATTACCCCGTTCATCTATCTCATTTGCTTATTTTGTGCCTTTTGCAAGAATGCCTCCCAAATGCACACGCGACACTCCATTCACTTCAAAGGGGAAAGGCAAAGCCTTTTCTTTGTCCAACCTAGGCCGCTCTCGGGTTGATGAAGGTGGCGTGCGAAGATTCCTTAGCCCCGAGCATAAGCTTCGATTTGAGTAAGTAGTCACCAAATGGACTATTTTACCCGAGCGGGAAGTGGTTTTGGAAGATTTCTCGGGGTTTGAAATTGAGACATTAATCCATCGTACGGGCTGGGAAAAGGTGATAGCTAAACCATTTGCTATTTATCTTACACTTGTTCAAGAGTTCTACACAAATTTCAACTTCTCCATCGACGAGCCTGGGACCGATCACCAGCACCGAACCTGGGTGCAGGATAAATGGTTTATGTTCACACCCGAGGTTATTGATGAATATCTTGAATTGAATCGAGAAGAAATCATCCTGATACCACCAGAGCAGAATTGGCCAGAGTTAGCACATGTTATGTATGGAAGAGCAAATGCCTGGCCGCTCCGTCAACCAGATTTCTTATACAGTAATTTAACAGAGTCCCTCATGGCTCTGATGATGTTTGTTTGCCACAATGTTGATCCCTCCAAGCATCGTTTTAAGTTCGATCACACTAAAGCTGCTTTGCTCTACCATCTAGCTAGAGGGCTTAAATTTGACTTGGGCACTCAAATCTATAATTTGATTTGTGCCCACGTTGCTGAAGTAGACCCACGACACACACTCATATTTCCAAGCCATATCTGTGGAATTTGCAGGGCTTACGGAGTGTAGCTCCTACTAGCTGAGCAGGTAATACGTCATGCTGCCCCAATCAACATTCTTTCCACCCAAAACTCTTGGAGAAAAGTCAATCAGTACAAACAAGGACGACAAGATAACCAGGATGAGGCAGGCCATGAGGATGACGTTGACATCCACCCGGACCTGCAACATGAGCCACCAGCTGATACCCCCGTACTGCGATAGATGTTTGCGACGATGACCGGGCTGAGTAGATTGTTCAACAGTTGCAGCAATCATTTACCGCCCTGGATTTACGAGTACAAGATATGCAAACTGACATTGGGATTGT